GGGAACAGCAGGGGGGGTGGCCAACTGGTTTGTGTGCTCTGCCTTCGGCATGGCAAAGCATGTGCTGTGTAGATCATACATGCTTTTTGTGTAAGGGCAGAGCTTGCTCTGTGAGTCCCTTTTGATGAGACACTGGAGTGGGACTTGGGCTCTTAAATCACCTGCATGCCTTTAAAGCTCTTAACACAGAAGGATCTCCAATCTTTTAACCTCTGTTATGAAACACAAGTCAGTTTCTTCCCTGCTTTTTAATTTTACTTCTGCTTTTGCTGGTTATGATTCTAAGGGCTATTTGCTGAGTATTTCCAGGACCAGTTCATGTGGGCTGCAGCTTTCCCTGTTGTGCACTTTTCCTTATGCAGTAATTCAAATTCACCTGGCTTGACTTTTTAGTTTCCTCAATGTTTGGTTCACAATGCTGTTCCTTATTGCTGGTCTGTCTTTTTGAAGAATAAACTATTTCTACATATTTGTGGAAATGAAAGAGTTTGTTGAAGACAGTCACAGGCTTTTAGGGCCAGTAGGTTTTCTGGCCTTGCTTCATGCATAACACAGACCGTGGAATTTTGTCCAGTGATTCTCACATTAAGCTTTATAATTCGTGGATCCAAGTGCAGCTGTTGTGCATGAACACAACCCATCATGGTAGAAAGAAGTTCTGTAATAAATGAATATAACAAGATCTATTCATTACAGAGCAGTCCTACCGTGCCATGGGAAAATTCTGACATGGCTGCATACTTTAATTTTTCTTGGAGTTACGCTGGGATTAGCTGAATGTACAGTGAAGTTGAAGCAACAAGATGGGAGGTTTTCTAACATGGAAGAGCATCCCTTTTGTTAGAGAAGTGCCTTTGCAGTCGTTGCTGTTGAATTTGTTCTCAGGATCAAATCTGCCCTTGCACTTTTATGGAGCTTACCAGGAAGTTCGCTTTTCCGTTTAGATTTTTCATTGGATTTGTGTTCCTACTGGAACAAACAAGCTGTAGATAAAATAACCTGCCTACTAGGGCATTGTGGCAGGAGCCACGTAATTCTTCCCTTAGCCAAGCAGATATTCTGTATGCATTTCCACCCAGACTGTTGTAAATGCTAAAAATATCAGACAGCAAAAAACAAACCTCATCATGGTGGCTTCTTTTTGGCTTAAACAGCCGTGGATAGCCATTGTGGAAGGAACTGGGCACAGTAAAATTTGACTTTTTACCTTGTTTTAAAATGATCGTTACTTTCTTGGCTTCAGAAACTCCTTCATGCCAACAGCATGAATTTTACAAAAGTAAATGATCCTATGTCAAGCATATGTATGTGTATGCATATGTATACGTATACATAGACTAAGTAAAAATAATAGTAATAGCAACTACATTGTACTGGTATCCAAACATCCCGCTTACAACTGATTCACCTTTGGGCTGAAGTGTACAGAGAAACCTATTCCACTGCAGGAGGCAGAACTTTGATTTCTGTATACATTAAGATGCATCATGTGGTTTGTTTACACTTAATTATAATAATGACAAAAAGGAGGGAACACATAAGTGGACAGAAAAAGATGTCTTATGCAGGTATTTGAAATATCAGCTTCAGAAAGAAGAATCAGAGCAACAATGTATGTTCCAATAAAATCATACATTCCTTGATTTAGGAATGCAAAAAGCAGATTATTCGTGGGGTTTTTAGAAGCTTGGAAGAAATCTGCCAATTCAATGGCTGGATTAGACATAGATTATAAAACGTGCTCTTAAATATTTGCAGGGCTGTATTTTAATAGCGTGCCTGATAATAAAAGACCATCAAGACTCACTCTTGTCACCAGTAGCTTCCTTAAACAAGAGTAACAATGTTTTGGACCAGGAGAACTGGAGTTCTCAGACTCAGTTTTCTCTCAACCAGTATGGTTTAGTGCAGGCCAGACTGAACTGCAGTTCAGATCTCTGCATGAATTGTGGAGAGCTCTTCATTGATGTTTGCAGAACTTTTATTTTGAGGCATTGCCTGTACTCACTTGGCATCACTGTCTAACTAACTACTTGTCTTCATCAGACATTGTGTTCACAATCTCTTTTGATTAAAAGTAATTTCAGCACAGTTGCAAGTGAGAACATTTGCATCAATCCCAGGGGCACAACCACAGTGAAAATTGTACTAAAAATAATTGTGACCTTCTTGAATCAGCACTTTTCTGAAATTCCACTGAAACAGTATGGCTCTTTCTGCCATTGTAAGAACTGCAAAAGTGACAATATGTTTGAATAATTATCTCTGAAGAAAAGCTGCCTTTGGATGCAATCTAGTCCTCCTCAGTGTTAATTTATTGGCACAGACACTGATACACGTGTAGTCCACTTGAGTTATTGACATGTCAAAGCAGATGTTTTGCATGCACATTTTGAATTTGTATTTGAATTTGAACGACTATGTTGGCATCAGAGCAATGGAGAATTACACTTTTTTCCTCTCTTCTCCCTCTTTTCTTCCCCAAAAGAATCCCCTTAAGAAGGAGAGGGAATTTCATATGCCTATAAACCTACCAATCTATGTCAGTTCATTTGTAAGTTTGGCTTTTTTCCCAGGTAAAAGAAAGCAGATCTGGCCCAATAGCATGTACATGGAATCACAAAGTGAGCGTGCTGGGCATTGTTCATTTTCCTGGAAGCTGTCTCCCACACAGATTTACACGGAGCAGTACACACGTCTGAATGAGAAGCAGAGACTGATGGTGCAGAATCACCCATGGGACGAGTTTTTCAGGCTCTAAAGGGGGGTGGCAGAGCTGTGTCTGCCCTGCAGTGGTGCTTTCCTCACGTTGTTAGATAGTGGGTTTTGTTATGAGGGGGAGTAACAGAAAGCAGCTATTCTTGTGCTCTGGAGTCTCACTGTGAGCCAGGTGGTTTGGATTGTTAGCCTGCAGACTGATGCTGTAGATTATTCCAGTTTAAGTGAGAGAATTGGATTGCTTCCTAAGTTCTTCCTGTTAAAATGTTGTTCCTCATGTAAATTTCAGAAAAGATTTGTACATTGGATCTTAGCAATTTCAAGGAAAAAATAATTTTGATCAATTTGTGTATCAAGGCATTTTGGTTTATCATTTTGCAGTGTACTTACAAGGGCAAAATTTTTAAACCAGCAAAGTGACATTTTGAAAAATTGCATAGAGATAAAGGAATTAGCCCCTTTAATGTGTATATATTGCTTTTAATTAAAACCTTTAGAGGGAAACTGTTTTTCCAAGCATGCTGTTTACTTCTGCTGCTTATTTCTTATTTGGGCATTCCAGAAGACCCCAAATGACAACAAATAGAAAGAAACAAGTTCTACCCCAGAGAGCTAACAGTCAAGAGAAAATGCAAGAGGTGACTAAAAAGACAAATGGAGGAAATGCGTAGAGGAAGTGTCTGCAGGCAGATGTAGCTGTGTCAGTAATCATACAGAGCTATTGGCTTAACCAGTGATAGATGGAAATACTTCTATGGGGGCTTGTATGGACTATCTTTTAGTATTCATTCTCCTATAAGTTATAACAGACAGACAGTGTCTGCGTTGTATTGCGTTTATCCTTGCTATTTTTATCCTTCACCATCTATGTGAAACTTTGTTCGGTTGTCAGTCACTGCCTTGTATTATTTTTTATTTTTTTCCTATTCTTAGTCTAACTTGGCCTTTCAGTTATTTTGTTAATAGACATAGAGAATCAGCCAGAATTCCAATTTGTGTGCTGAAATAATAATAGACTAACAGAGAGAGTGTAATAAATCAGTAGTCCTTATGGACTCTATCACCCTGCAACAGATCCCCCGCTCCACACCATTTATAGCAACTGAAATTTTATTTGAAAGCAAATATCTGATGAGGCAAATTAATTATTGTGACATTTTTCTATTGGTTAAAAAATGAGGAATCCAACATTTAAGACTTGCTAATGCTTTTTTTGGCATCAAGAAAGGAGACACAGGTATCTAATATTAAATAGTGCTGCAGAAGGGCAAGTTAGCACTTTGTTTGCCAAATTAACTTTCAAAGACTATGTAGGTTATGAAGTTTGACTTTCTGCCCATAAATCTTGAATGAGTGAGAGACCACTGTAAAATAGCTTTGTTCAAAAGGAATCTTTGGCAGGCAGCATCAAAGGTTTGAAACTCTGGAAAGGATGAAAAGAACACCCCACTTTTGCACTGATTTCCCCTACAGATCAATGTCTCTGTGAAATTTGCCTGAGAATTATGAAGTATTTACCATATTATGTGCTGGGTTTTCTCACTGTATCCAAATGCCCCAGTGGTTCCTTTTATCTTGAAGATTTAGGGATATTTTTGTACATGAAATCTGAATGAATGAATGAATGAATGCATCAGTGGAGCACAAGGAAAAAATATGCTGGATTTAGACAGTTCTTTTCTTCCGTGTTTTATCACAAGTTGGAGCACTGGTTTTACGACACCTAAATTTATGGGTACATATTTTTATGGTAAAGCCCAATGACATGTTCTGAATGCTCCATCAAGCTCTCTCAGTGTTTCTTCACTTGATTCACAACTCTGCAGGGTATGAATCAGTCCTGTAGTATAATTCTTAATCTCTTTCTAACCAGAATAATGTAGTGTGGGTTTGTTTTTTTTATTTATGGTGTGTGTCATCATGTCATCATCTAATTATGTAAACCAAAGAAGGGGGAAATAAAATATTTCTTGGAATACTCTTGTCATCTGTCGATCAGTGCAGGAGATGAAGCATCTTTATTGCATATAAGCAGCATAGGCAGAAATTTTGTTTTGTAACACACAGGTCCTTAAGTCTATCCTCCAGCAAGATGTGGTCCTGCTGGGGCATGGGCTGAAGAATAACTGGCTTTGCAGGGCAGTTTCTGCTTAGAAACACATCACATCTCCTCAGGTACAGCGAGAGGCTTGAGGAGAAAAGCTCCCTCTACTTTCAACAGATTCTTAGAAGCTCTGGTCCAACAGAAGGTGATTAAACTCTTGTTTTTCTTCCACAGGGTGAAGTGAAGAAGTGAAGCCTCACAGCTGAACTACTATGAGGTCAGAAGCCTTGCTGCTATATTTCACACTGCTACACTTTGCTGGGGCTGGTTTCCCAGAAGATTCTGAGCCTATCAGTATTTCGCATGGCAACTGTAAGTATAAGGGGCCAGAGGACTTCATTTGTACTGAAGTACTGATCAGGGGACTTCAAATCAGCACTACTTAAATACTTAAATACAGTTGCAGTGGATATAGTTGTTTTGTCTTGATTTCTCCCATATCAGCCAAATTCTCTAGTAATCATATAGGAACATGGCTTTTTCACATGGTCTTATTATTTGTTAATCTAATACAAGCAATTGAATTTAATTCTTTAAGCTTAGATGAATTCTGCTTGAGCATTAGGCATTTTTTTTTTTCCTAAGATGGAATTGTAACTAAACAGCAAATCAAGACAAAGAATCTTTTATGACAGAAGGTCTCTCCTTTCTTACCAGTAGAGATTGGCAAACTCTCCAAAGTCTAGTGTAATACCAACAGCTGCATATTGAGATCTGCTGGCTAAACAGGTGGAAAGCTTTCTGTGCATTTTATTGTGGACATCAGGCTTGGCTTAACTGTTTCTTTCACATTTGCCTCAGCTCAATTGTGATAATGGCAGAGAAAATTCTTCTAAGTCCCAAAGTTTCAGATGTTTATAAGGAAGTCTTTATCATCTGGGCCTCTAAAAACACAGGGAGTAGCAAGTCAGCCAAGAGCAGGCCTGTGTTCAATTCTTTATTTGTTCAGGAATGTGGTTTTAAAATTGCCCGTGTTTAATGTGCTTTGGAATGGCCTTGGTGCCCATAAACTTTTCTGTCCTCTGTAACACCAGTCTGAAATATGAGACTCCAGGGCACACCTGATGTGCTGAAATGCCAAGAGACCTCTGGGATACAGCAACAGGGAAGAACTGCTCAGAACCAAACCAGGCTCTTGCTGGCTAGTGTGGCCACTGGATCTTCAGCACCAACATTTTCACCCTCCAAAATGGCAGTGCTAATCATTCTTGCAAAATGATTTGCCAGACTTGATCCTTTCGGAGAAACAGAACATGAGATCATTTTTCCTCTGCATCATGGCATGCTGAAGTGGACATGGATGCCCCTATTTGTTCTATGTCCATGATTTACAGAGGAAACATTACTGAACAAAAAACACCCTGACAGTAAAACTTGGCATTTTGCATTAGGACATGATCAGAAGGATTAAGCTCCTGAATGTAAATCCTGCCTGGTGTCTTAATTTATTTCTTCAAGAGTTCTCAGCACCTGGTTTGGAGAGAAGTTCCTTTTTCTGTCTGTTGCATCTGATGATAGTTTTATCACCAGACTTTCTGGCACATGACACTCTGAGGTGCTTTGCTGAAACCATGATGTGAACCAATACTTTGACCAAGGACAGGTACAATGCTTTTAGAAGACAATAGCTGAAAATACTAAAGCAGCAGATGAGTTTCTGAAGAAACAGACTCCCACAAAGAGCTCAGTTTTCTGGGAAAGCATATTAATGGGGAAAAGGAATAGCTAGATGCTAGTCAGCTCTGTATAATATTCACCTGCAGCAGATCTGCAGTGATAATGCTCATCAGAGGATTATCCTCATCCTGTCTTCTGTTATTTACTTGATTATTTACTTAATTAGCTCCTTCTTTGTGTTCCTAGATGTTGTGATCCTATGATATGCATGAATGTGAAGTGGCCCTTGATCAGAAGTGTTCACTGTTGTTATAGGTTGTGCACCCTTCTGAGGAGCACTGGTGTGTGCTGAGTTCTCACACAAAAAATATACTGGGAATAGACAATAAATGCTCTTGCTGACTGGTAGAACTGGGGGGAAAGCTGACTTGTTGATAGCACAAGCTCAGTACAGGGATTCCAATCCAGTTGCCAGAAGGAGTGGCATATCAGACTGGATGCCAAAATAATGTGCAGTGACTTTGACTTCATAAAGTTCAAGTGGTGATTTCCCACCATTCCTCAAAAATCCCTGCAGTTGTTCTATGTAGAAAACCCAGAGAGCTGGTAGTTTGAACCAATGAGAGCCAAGCCTTTTGCTCTAGCCACTACCAGTCCAGACATCATGGTAATTGATAGGCCACTGTGGAATAGTTTTGTCCTGATAGACATGCTTTGGCAGCCAGGAGCAAGCATTTAAGCTCTGCAAGCAGTGAAAGAAAAACTGTGAGAAAGTGCCATGTACCTGTGTGCCAAGAGCTCCAGAACAGCTTTATGCTCAAAAACTTCACAATTTCTGCCTTCTGCAAAGGTGATGACTTTCTCCTTTGCAGCAGCAGAGACTGTAACCTTGAGGAACTCTCCAGCTCTCTGTGCTCATGCCTTCCAGCCCCAGTCTGTGCTTCCAGGGCAGAACAAAAACCATGGGTTTTGGCTATAGCTGGGCCCCCTGGTGCCTCATGTTAACACCATTTCAGTTTGTTATTCTCTTTTGACCCTGTTGATTTTTTTTCCTTCCTCCAGATACAAGACAGTATCCGGTGTTTGTGGGTCACAAACCAGGGCGGAACACCACACAGAGGCACCGGCTGGACATCCAGCTTGTCATGGTCATGAACAGGACCCTCTACATTGCTGCTAGGTCAGTAGCACTCTTACTGCTTTAAGAGGAGAAAGGAGAAGGAATATTCTGAGCTCTTCTCTGATGGACACATTATTTTTAGGATTGTCTTGCAGACAGTTTTGCAGCCTGTTAGTAAGACATATTAGAAACCTTGCTAAATTATCAGCTAAAGTTTTGTGATGCTTTAGGACACCCGTGCTTTAGGACTACAAACCTCTGCCTTCCTCTGAGACCTGCAAGAGGGAAGTTGCCAGAAAAAATAATTTAGTTCCATGGAAAAGCAATTCTGTCCTCATTGTTTCATTCTACTTGTGCTCACCAATAATGACAAATTTTAAAGAATAATTCTTCTGTGCACAGATGCATTTTTTGTAAGAGTTACTAGAATGTAATTTTGCTTATTTAGGCATGTTTTTTAAATCATAAGACAAAAAAAAACCAAAAACCTAATATGCTTCCTCAAGGTTAATTGAATTTAGTACCTTGAGTTTTTTGGAGAGCTGTACTGTGCAGACATGAGCACATCTTTTTATAAAAATTGCACGTAGAGCCACCCATTCAGTTTGCCTAGCCCAGCTTGCACTATCAGCCTCAGCAGGGCTACACCCATTATACACCTGCTAGCCTGGTAGAGATCTGAGTTAACACTTCATCTCCCTACCTGTGACAATCTTAGAGTGGGAATTACTTGAGAGATGCAGAATGAGTGCATGAGGGCTCCAGATTAGCAAGGGTGGGTGGTCCAGATTAGCAAGGGTGGGTAGTCCAGTTTAGGAGCTCTTGGACCCAGATCTTGTCTGGGACCTCCCTGCAAGCTGCCTCTCAAGTAGTAGCTTGTTTCCTGCCTGTTTTCTGGTCCTCTGCTGGAAAAATACGCACCTTTCTGCATGTGCCACATAAAACCAGGCTGTTGCTGCAGATGGGAGAAGTGGTGGGTGGGATAGCCAAGAATGAAGGGGAACAGCTGCTGAACAGGCAGCCTCTCACCACCAGCCCTGTCTGCAAAGCCCTTGGCAGTCTCTGGGAGCTGCCTGGCTTTCTTCTCAAACAGCCACTCCCCATCTCCTGGGTGGTCGGATGAGTCCTGTGGGGGAAAGCTGCCTGTGGATCTCTGTGCGGCACCACCTAATTGGTAATTGCGTTACACCGGCACGGTCACTCAGCGACGCTTTCAGAGTCGTGTCCCTGGCTGCTGGAAGAACACACCTGTTCCCTTAGCCAGCCACGGCAGCTGCTCCGGCTAATTGCAGCTTCCTCGGGCTCCTGGCACGCCCCGCTCTGCCTGGGCTCTGGGCGACAGAGCTCACGGCAAGAGCACGGCGAGACCGCGAGTCCAGGCAGGGAGCCAGTATCCTTCCACAGGAGCTGCGGTGGTGGTGGTGGTCGTACAGGAGAGGTCAGCCCTGCTGCAAGTGGCTGCAAGCCCTGTGCTTTGCCTGAGCTCCAAGATTGGTGTTTCTGCTGTGTTTAGTGGGATAATGAGTGGGGCAGGGCAGAGGGTTGAATAGGTTGGAAAGGTGGTGGCAGGATTTCCTCCTTTTCATGACTGAGCTCCCTTTGCTTTCCTTATTTGTTTCCCTTTAAATTAGGAAATTATTTGCAGTGAGGTGGTAGTAAATCCTCTTTGCAGATTTTGCTCTGCTGTTTTCATAGTTTGTTCCCAGGCTGAGATTGACGCAGTTAGACCGTCTCAGTGCCCGAGTGACTGGCATTACAGCAGGAAAAGCCAGAAAACAGCTTTGTGCACAGATAATAATGCAAATAATTTTGTGTGCACAAATTATGTGAAGAATGCCAATATTTGGGGCATAGCATGTACTAGTATGTGAATATGCATTCTTCCTTATTTGTATAAAACCGCTTCCTACAATGAGAGTGCTTATGTAGTCCCAGGATCTTGTGACCTACAAAAAAGAATAAAGGCCTGGTCTGTTTTGTACTTACACAGCCAGGAAAATCTTCTTACGCTTTTTTTTTCCTTCAGTAACTCAAAACCTCTTTGACATATTCTTTCCCCCCTCCGTGTTACTGAATAAAGTCCTTCCTGGGCTGACAAGACTATTTGATACAAGTTGAAACTCAGACATAATCTTTAAGTAACAAACTTCAGAAAATGGGTCATCCTTCCCTATCTAGTGTGATTGAAAGCTTGTAATTCAAATACTGAATTTCCTTCAAAGGCAGTAGTAAATCTCGAGATTGGAAGCAAATTTCAACAAGCAAAGGTGTTAGCCAAAGCATTTTATAACAAGATTCATTGAAAACTAGCTAAATAAATCTTTGGGCTATTATATGAGATCTTGTTTTCAAGGTTTTTTAATACATTGAAATACAGTGATCCTAAGTTTATGTTTTATCTAATTATCTGAAAAACAATCAAAACAAATGGTTAAATTCTGAGAGTTTTTATTTTAGGGCTGTTGTGTTTAGGCTGGGGTTTTTTTCTTTTTTTCTTTGTTTGCTTGTTTTTGAAAAAGTGTTGACTTTTGCAGACAGTTTCAGCACACCAGAAAGGTGAACTCAGATTGGAGAGCTGCTTAGATTTTATTAATGAGCAACTGGCATAGAGCAAAATTTCTGTCAGTCTGTTACATTTTTTGTCGTTTGGGATACATGACTCCCGTATTAGCTATTACCAAATAAAGTTTTGTGTCACTTCACAAAGGCATTATTTCATGTTATCAGGCAGAAATACACAGCCAATATAAATCAGAAGAACTCAGCCAAAGCCCATAAAGCTTTGCTGTCTGAATATCTGGCTTGCAGTCTGTGAAGAACCGGCTCTGTCATCTTTTTTCTCGTGGGAAGGGTACTCCCTCGCCATCTCCCTCTCACTCACCCACACCCAGGCACACACCCCCTTTTTTCTAAGTTTGCTGTGTCTCCTCCTCCCATTGTCTCGTGCAGTGGCAGCTTTTGTTCACATTATCTGCCACCCCTCCTGTGTGTATGGAGCAGGGTTTGGGGTGGCTCCCTCCTCATTTGCAGTTACGTGTTTCCAGACCCTGCTCCGAGTGCCAAGGGTCGTGCACAGCCAGTGGCATTATTTAAATTCCCTTCCTCGACAAGATTATGCCATGGCAACAAAACTTGGTTCTGCTGACTGGAGGTGGGAAAAACGGAAGCTCTAGGATTAAGTAAATTTGTGTTAGAATAACTTAATTAGCAGTAAACTGTACACATGCCACAGCTACTAGATAGTAGGAGTTGGGCAGCAGTGGGAAAAGGAGAACAAGGACAATCCCACGTTTTCTGTGATTAGGGAGCCCTCCCCCAAATCTGACAGCTCTTTTGCTCTCTACTGACACTGTCAGCAACTGTGGTTCGTCTGTGGCATAACAAAATTATATGTAATTTTCCTGATGCTACCCTTCTTTCCAGCAATCCCATCACTTAGCATCTAAGTTTGGTTTGAACTGTTCCTTGAACCAGAAAGTAAGTCCTCTAAAGACTGTTTTGTGGAGATTGGAACTAAACAACTCGGCTCTTTCTGAGTACTTTCGGAGATGTATTTTCTAATTGTCTTGTTGAAAATTAAAAAAATGTAACCTCTGGAAAGCGAGGCTGATGAATAAAATCAAGAGCTTTGCTGGAAGAAGGGTTTTAGAGGTCCACCCGCACCTCATTTGCAATTCAAGAGATTTTCCCCCCCACTTTTATATAGCAGGAGTGACAGCAATAAAGAGCAATGCACATAAAAAGGGAACCATGACGTAATCCATTAAGCTGATATCGTGCTAATAGGTAATTTTATTCCAGAACCAACCCTGACCACTGCTCTGTCGCTGAAGTCAGGCAAATAATAAACTGAAGTATTAAACCAATCTTAGAAGTAAATGACAGCTCTGGTTTTAGTCTGAGGAGAAGAAAACCCATCAACTCCTCGATCTGGCATCTTACAAAGCAAACTCCAAGCTCCACAGGAGACAAATTTTTAAAAGCCTGTTCCCTACCGCAATGCTGCCTCTTTTCTCCACCTGAGAGAAGTGTTGTTTATTTCTCTTCTAGCAGTATTCTGTGTTTTCCTTATTTAAAGAGACTAGCACTAGTTCCCCAAAACCCAATAAAAATGAAACTAACCTTGCCAGCAGGGATTTCTAAAATGGAAAGAGCCTGCATTCTGCTTTCAGCAGACCCCTCTGATGCTGTGGATCATACTTCAGCTGTGCAGTTTTCTGCAATTTTCTTTCAAGGAAAAATGAGATCAAAGTCCCAATTTGATGTGCTGATTACTACAGCCTTGTGGGTTGATGGGTTTTTTCAACCTTTAGGTTCTATAAAGAGCTGTCCTTGTTCTGAGCTTACATGGAAGAGAATGTCTAAAAATATCTCTTTACCTGTGTAGTTGTGTCTATTTCCTCTTTCCAAGAACAGTATGGCAGCTAATTGTAGAGGGGGACGGGTTCTCAGGAAAATAGGAAAGTAAATGCAAGAAAAATAGTGTGAACTTATTTTCAGAGAAATATATTACAGTTTAGTTTGGCCAGCAGTGTGTGAAGAAAAGAATGATTTCTGGGAATAGTTTTGTGTCTGTCAGCTTTTGTCTGCCATATTGTCAATCAAATTATAACAGTTAAAGTTAAATATTTAGGAGAGGAGACTCGAGGAGACTCGAGGAGAGGAGAGGAGACTCGAGGAGACTCGAGGAGACTCGAGGAGAGGAGAGGAGAGGAGAGGAGAGGAGAGGAGACTCGAGGAGAGG